TTTTGCCTCATCTCTGTTTTGCAGTCTCTACGATTAAGAACTATACATATTTATTGTCTCTCATCAACTGTAACTGGACCAATTTTGAAAACAATTAAACAAAAGCCACGAAAACAATCTCGAACTCTACTCACCGACTTTATTAACCTATACCCAAGTAGTTTAGAGGGTATATTCTATTGAATACACATATCGCCGAAGGACGCACACAGAGCTGAGATTTGAGAATTGAGAGAGAGAGAGCGAGAGCGAGATAGAGAAAGATTTGAGCAGTTTCCCCCCACCCACCTGAGCAGAGAGACATCCATTCACGACGGCGCCGCTCAAACCACAGGCCTACAAATTTGGACAGATGTTATGTTGTGGCTTCTGCTGTGGCAACATGTCGAAACGGGACTACAAAGTGGCCACCACAGATGGCATCGAGCTGGAGCCGTTGGGCGGCGAAAAGCCCGATAAGGAGAAGGACAAGGAGAAGCAAACGAATGGCGTTACCTTTGGTAAGTCACCAGCCACACTCAGCCACTCCCCCCTGCCCATTCTCCCCATCTCGCCCTGCCCTTGTCCAGCCCAATTTGTTTGCATTGCTGTTGCACTGGGTGACGGCATCTTAACATGATCAAAGCAAAGCCCGCAGCAAAGTGCATAATTGCACTTATGCATAATTTGAGCACAGTCGGCTGCCAATTGCGAGCAGGTGCCACGCCCAGTGGCCCTGCCCTTCTGTTGTCTTCTCTTCACACACGCTGCGGCATCCATCAGGTTGTTTTCTTAATTACGCCAAATGCAAAACAAAAGCATTAAAAACAGAATATTGTGCGCAAGACAAAATGCCGGCCCAGCCCAGCCCTGTCCTGTCCTGTTCTGCCCTGCCCGGCCCAGCCTTTTGGCTGCCTTGTCTGAGCAGTGGCGTTAATTTTGTATCCTGCAGGAAACCGTTTTTCATATGCTCATACGCCCCGTCGGCCCGTCGGCCGAGCCAAGCCAAGCCCAGCCGCAAGTAAATATAATGAATGCCAGCTGCCTTTGCCTGTTAAGTCAGCGATTCTCTTTGGTTCTTGGCGAAGCATGTTGAATATGCAACGGAGGATGTTAAAGCAAATATACATATAAAATATATATTTAGCCTAAATCAATATTAGTTAAACTATGTGCCAACTCGTAGAGCATGCAACGTATAGCCTGATATAGTATAGAAGGATATCATCTTAAGGATTATGCGACCATTTTTAATATATGTACATACTGTAATTAGACGGCTATCGATCAGAATGTGAGCTAATAATAGTAAACGTACCCATGATAGGAAAAATACAGGACTGACTACAAATGAGGTAGACTATAATCGATTAAGATTCCCTTTCGCTCTGTCATCAGTGTGAATTCTTAATGAAGAGAATGCTATTCACAAAAACTTACTTTATCATCTATAAGTATTCTAATAATAAATTAAAAGGCCTGTTTAGTGTCCATATGCATATTCTTATAGAGTAGAGTTCGGCTATTAAGTCGTCAAGCAAACTTATACGATTAAAGCGTCTTCCGGCTATAACGAGGTTCGATATAACCGGATTCCGTACTGTATATCCTTCAATTTGCTAGAGACATACATATATCTTCAGCTTAATAATCTAAAATTTATCGGACCATCCTCATCTATAGTTGTCTTCTCAGCTAAACATCAGAAGCTGAAATTTTGTTCAATTCATTTTTAAATCAAAAAGTGAGCCAATGACGCCGCAGAGTATTCAAGCCTCGCTCATGCTTTCTTTACCATTTTTTTGTGTTCTTTTTACATTTTTATTATAGACCACAATTGTCTCATATTTCATTTTTTTTTTTTTTTTACTTCGTTTTGCTTGCGGCGACTTGGCGGCATTTGTGCAGCCTGCTGCATGATGCTCTCAAAGATGCCACCGCATCAGGCAGCCAAGACACCCAACGTGGCCCCGTCCGCCCAACAAGGGGCATTCAGACGGACATTTGCAGCCGGGCACGTCGCCTGCAGTTCAGCTCAGATTTCCGACATTTTGAGTTCTCAGTTTTTGTTTCATTTTCTTTTAGCCATTTTGAAATACGAACTTGTGTTTATTTATGTAGCTGTCTCACTGTGTCGGTGTATGTGTGTGTGTGAGTGTGAGTGTGTCTGCGTGGGTGTAAATGATGATATTAGAAAATGTACCCCGAGGAATATTAAATCCGGATTATGTAGCACATAAACTTTAAACTGAAATGAAATGCGATAATTCTGCTGAGTATTCCGTAATCTTTCTACTGGCTTTCAAATATGAGCCAAGTTTGTTTACATTAAACTACGGAACTTGCTTAGAAAGAGACAAGTGAGGTTAGGTTTAAATGAGTTTGTAGATATGCATATGTTTATATGCGTATGTATTTATTTATACTTGTGTAGTATAGGTTGACTAACTAAGATTGATTTTATCTCCGATATGTATGCTTAAACTCCTGCCTAAGTCTAATTAAAGAGTTACCTTAACTTAGACTAGCTTAGCCTAAGATCTCACTAAGATTACTTAAGATTGTACATTTGGATACAAGATGGAACGAGAGAGATTTAGAAAGCATAGAGATAGGGAGATTTGAAAGGAGTAACTAAATAAAGTTCAAGATAAGAGTGAAAAACTATTTGGAGATCCACATAAAAAATTTAGGCAAAATTCATCTGAATTCCGCAAATGTAGCTCCGATTTTCCAGCTAAAGATACACTAGGCCAGCTGCCATAGTAAATATATTCATATTCCCATTCGTATTCGTGTTGCAACCTGCAACATGCATATTTAATGAGATGCGTGACAATTTGCGGCTAGCTTGGAATACACATTAAACGCTTAATAATTTATGGGGCTCAGATGAAATCCGGGCAAACAGCTGCCTGGGCGCATGTTTAATAAGAGCCCGTGAGCCCAATTTGGTGTTATCTGTTGAGCGAATCGTTGACTCTTGTGCACGTCAAGGCAACGCCTAAAGTGTGCCACAGAAGAAAATTGTCTTTTGCCTTTGGTGGTGCAACAATCAGTGTCACGGGAGCAGGATGCATGTGTTGCAATTAAGGATGCATAAAATGGAGTAAGCACCACTCGAATGAGTCGAGCCAGAGGCAGCAGCAGCAGCAGCAGTAGCAGGAGAAGGAGGAGGAAGAGGAGGAGAAGGAGCAGCAGCAGCAGCAGCAGGAGCAGCATCAGTGTTTACCTTTCAACTAAGACACGGCTTGTGGCATGCAACAGACGAGAGCAGCAGCTGAGCCGTGGCCTATGTCAGCTGAAGTGACACAAGAAGGGAGAGAGAGAGAGAGAGAGAGCGAAAGAAAGAAAGAGAGAGAGAGAGCGTGTATGCTTGTGGCAGCTGTCGATGGTTGTCGCGCCTGCTGCCTACGTTGATAATTGCAGGATGCGTTGATGTTGATTGCATTCTGAATGGGC